TTCATCAATGGAAAGGTCTTCGTGACCACTTGTTGTCAGGAGCATGTCCGGAACCCCAGAAGCTTCGAACTCTGAACGTGACTGACAAACACTCAAGTCACCCTGAGGTAAGGACCCTGTCCCAGCTGCGACAGGACATTGCCCAACTCCCACAACATCGAATAGCGGTGATCTCAAAGACAGCGGAGGCCCGGGTCCTGATCCATAGGTGCCTCACGTGTGACTTCTGGACTTTCGATCACACTAAAGTCAAGTCACACTTCCGTCAGGCGCATCCTAAGGACTGGTCACGGCTGCACAAGCGTGCAGTCTCTATATGTCAGGGTTTCTCGCCTCACCTTGCCAAGGGACACCCGTGTTCATTCTGCGGTTACAAGGTCTATGATCGTCGACTGCACCCGGAACAATGCCCCGTACTTTATCAGGTGAGCACACAATGGCTGCGAGGGCAACCGGAGGTAGAGGAAGCCGTTACTGCTCCCCCCTCCAAGCCCCAAGAACGGTCACTGACCCACTTCTTTAAGTCACGGTCGAATGGCACAGCCTCCAATCAGTCGAGCACAGCTCGTCACACCCCGGCAGACAAGCAGGCGTCCGATCCGCAGTCCTCAGGACAAGCGGAAATTAGACCCGAAGGAGTGCACAAACGCGCTCTGACTAACACGTCCAACTCGTGTTACGCCAATGCCCTATTCCAGGCTCTGCATCAGATCTCGAGCTTTGGGTATGACCTAGGTGCTTTCCAGTCCGTCCTATCCCATCTAGGCGACGAGCGAGCCCCCAGATTACTGAACCTGTTCGGCTTGGTTGAATTTCGCCATGCAATCTCAGGCTGGCGACTTGACGGCAGACAGCATGATGTTTCAGAGCTGCTTCTGCATATGCAGTCCAAGCCTTTCGGCTCCCTTCAACAAACCCAGTGGCAGGGCCGTACAGATGGTGAGGTTGAGGATTCAGATGTGGGAGTCAGCCCACTCCTTCTTCCCCTCCCGCCTGGCCCTTTGTCACTCTCGACTTGCTTACGGCTGTGGGAGTCCCAGATCTTCTCCCGCGCGCTAGTCTGGTCACCTGAACTCCTAGCAATTGTGATTTGCCGCTGGCAGGATGGAGTCAAGAACACTCAGCCGTGTCTTTGGTCAGGCCGCACCACGGTGCCTGTATGGACCTCAAGTGATGCTCGAACTCAGCGTCACTATCAGGTCATAGCAGGAGTTGCCCATTTTGGGGACTCCCTATCTTCTGGGCACTACCGCGCTTTTTGGCCAGAGGACCCAGCGGATACCACCTCTCAGGTTTGGATCTCTGACGACTACAGGTTTCCGGAAAAGGCCTCAGCGGCCTTGAACCTGTCCATCTCCAGGAATGTCTACATGCTCTTCTTGCAACGAATTCGCTAGCATCATCGCTAGGTGATGCATTCCGGCCCAGCTTCGTCCTCAAGGGCACTGCGGGGCGCCCGTGCGTGAGACGCCTATAGTCAATTGAAAGTTGGCATAGGCCACCTCACGTCAAGGCCAAGTGCGTCATGCGCGCACGCGGACATGCACATACCGCAATACTTTTTCCTCTCAATCAGCTCGCCCTCTTTTTGTATAGCTTCCGCTCCGACTACACGGCCGGCATGACCGCTTCCCCTGTCGCCGTCAAGAGTCCGGAGCACAAACGCTCCAGAAACGGTACAGACAATGAGGACGCATCGGGAATGGATTTTTCTGAAGAGCCTCCACTCGAGTCACTCTCGCCTGCGGCCAAGGCCGCTGCCCTGCCGAGGCAGCAAGACCAGCCTCGCCGCAAATCAGTCCCGAGGCAGAAAGGACCTGGTGCGATCCAAGGGTTTGGGCAAGGCACCCAGCCTCGAGCGCAATCGGGTGCCATCCAGGCGCTGAGCCCGGAAGAGCTCACCAAAGCCTTCCTTGTGCACGACGACCAAATGAGCCTGCTGCAACACCAGCTATCACTGGTGTACAAACTACCTCAAGACCATCAACTTTCGAAGGCATTAGTTGCGTCTGTGAAATCCTGGCAGGGAGGTTTGAAGAAGCTGCGCCAAGGAGAACCTCACCCCGAGGGATCATGCTCGAATGCGGTCTCCCTAGTTCTCCTCCACGAACTGACCAAGGGCAACCCTCCAGAACACGTGGACAAGACGGAGTACGGCAAGCTCCTGAAGGTGGTGGACTCCATGATCAACATCACTACCGACAAGACCAAGCTGGCACAGGAAATAGTGCACTGCTCTGCTAAGCCGAACAAGCTCAAGACGCACGTTATCCTCGACTTCAGGGTAGCCATCTACTCTGACCTCATGCCCTACCTCTCCCTCCTCGCCTCCCTCTTTGACTCCCATGATGGCTTTGAACGCCTGGGTCGCAAGGCGCCGGGAGGACTGGCTCGCAAGGCTCGAGGCCGTCCGTGAGCTTGGCCTAGTTGAAGCACACAGTGCACTAACTTCCTCAGCACAGCTGATGTTCTGATCCGTCTTGCACTCTTCACTCTCGTACAGCGTGACTAGCAAGGCTGCTGATTCTTTCAACAAAGTTCCAGCTGCGCATCAAAACGCAGGGAGCCTTTCGTGAGCAGATCACTTCGTTCCACTTGATTTCCTGAGCGTGCCAGCCTGGCTCGAGCCCTTAGCACTATGGATCTCACACGGTTTGCGGACCTACCGGGCCCTGACCAAGTCCCACATTTCCTGAATCTGGTACATCAGCTGGACGAGATTCTCAAGCGCAAGGCCTCGCAACTCTATACAGACCCTGGCTCGGCGTCTTCTACCAGCTCTCAGACTGCTGAACGATGCACTTTGCCCTCTGGCAAGGCCCGTCCTCCAACACCGCCAGCCCCTAAACATCGACGAACTGACGCGGCTCCAGAACAGGACGCTACGTAAGCTCTTCAGAGAACTAGGCACAGTCGGCGGAGCCGGCTACCAGCGAGCAAAACTCACTGCCATGCGTTTTTCCTGCTCTTGCACTCAACTGCTTTGCAACTAGGTCACAGGGCTCAAGCTACCAGTGGCAGGTAGCACACAGTGCAGCACGGATTCGTCACAGACGATATCTCCCACTCACGCTGGGATGGATCGTGCTCCATATCCTGATGGAGTGCATGAGGCTCTTGGTCGGAGCCATATGCCTGGACTTCGACGACCGGTTGACCCCCAAGTGACTTCCGCCATCTCACCAGAGCTCTTAGGCGTGAAGATCGCAAAGGGATACGCCAGCGCGGTCTTCAATTCCAGTGCTGCAAACTTTGTGCTCAAGAAAGTCACGAGGCCTCAGGAAGAGTACATGGCCAGAAGAGAGTTTAGCAGATTATCGAGATTCCCGCCGATCAACACCATCATCGAGGCTTTCTGGCAGCAAGGCCCAACGCTGTTACTGCCACGTCTGTACCCTGCCCATATCCCCTCCATGACAACGGACCATGTCGTCAATCTCGTCGCTGACATCCGGTCTGCCCTCAATGCAGTGCATTCCAGCCAACTGGTCCACGCGGACATCCACATGGGCAACATCATGGTGCGCTACGACCCTCCCACCTATGTCCTGATTGACTTCGGCGGCACAGCGGGGGAAAGTGTTTATCCTCTCAGCTTGGGCTACGGTGCCCTTGGCCAGGGAGGAATGCTTCATCGTCCACCTCACGAACTCATGGAGCGACCCACCAGGACCGTCAGAGGCGACTACTACAGGCTCAGCAAGACGATCTCCGTCGAAGTCGTGGGCAACAAGTGCTGGCGCGACACTGCGTCGGGTTTCCCGATGCCCCCGAAACTCCCCAAGCACCTTCGCGTCGAGCTGGCAGAATGGGAGAATCTCGCTGGCCTCACTCCACCCAAATGGCCAGAATCTGCCTTTCCCGGAGGAAGCTGGTACGAGACTGCCATCGATCCCTCGATCACCGTGCAAGCCGGCTTGTATGATGAAACCGGCAACGTCCGACTGGCCACCGCCGTTTTCTCCTACTCCAAGCAGCAAAAATCCAATGTATCCGGGCTCTTCGGGCCAGAAGATCCCACACGGGCTTCTCTGGACTCCGGAAGCTGGGAGGAATCTGCTGCTTACGCTAGGTTCTTCCTATCTTGCAGGCTCAGGACCATGGGCAGCCACATCCGGACCATGTACACGGAGGTCCTGCCGTACCAAAAGTACAGCAACCAGGATGGCTACCTCATGCTGGAGAATGCTCTCGAGCACCCTCCACCTCCACCACCTCCTCCGGCTGCCAGCTCGAACGAGCCAGCGCCCTCGACACCGGCTACTGAGCTGCAGGGCATTTGGGCGGAAATGGATTAGGCTTCAATCGCAGGACACAGTCCACTCAGCGGCATATGGCACAGCCTCTGCCACGCGGTTACTGTAACCAATTTGTCGCGGGAATAGGACACAGTCCAAATCAACCTGAGTCACAGACTCTGTTCCAACGCCTACTGCCTACAGCACTGGCCTTAGCCCGAGAAAACACCTGCGCATCTGTCTTGAGCGCAGTTGTCTGCACTTTTCAGCTCCCGTTTGCTTGAGCTCACCCAGGGCTTCCTAAGACCCCTGTGGGGAGGAACTGGTTGTCATGGCCCCGGTTTCTCGGGCCATAGGCCTATGGCCCCGGTTTTCTGGGAACCGGAAATTTCTTGGAACCGAGGGTGGGTCCAAACCACACAATAGCATCTGTGTAACAAACAGGTCATGTTGCAGAACACATGCACCGATCGTGTTAACACTGAAAGAATCAGCGATGTGTTTGCAAAAAACATTGCAGGATCATCTGCTAACAAGTTGTCATCTCCCCCCCAGCTGTATAAAGCGGCCAAACCACATAAATTTATAGCGATGCGACTGTGACGATCGCGGAAACTTGTGGTAGGCTAGAATCCGCTGATCTTTACCGTAATTCGTCTGATTTTTCTGGACCCGTTTCAAGAGCTTGGAGATGCAGGCTATATAAGAAGCCACGTAGCAGCTTCAAAGTATCGATATGCCAGTACTTGGGCCGACACCTAGTCAAACCAACACTCGAGCCAACAAGTTGTGAGCCCATTTTGAGCCTGAGTTTAAGGTTCATAAGGTGTTTTAGGGGCCTACTCGGTATTTCAGATTATAAAGGCTCTTGTGCTTGGAGCTTCGATGGGAATATATATCTATATATATTTATGTATATACATATATATATATATATATGTGCACCTTGAAAACCAGAACAGAATTCCTACTTAATATATATATATATATATATTTATTTATATTAACTAGGAATTTCTGTTCTGGTTTTCAAGGTGCACTGTCATGTGCTTTCCACGTCTCCGTAGCAAGTGGGAGAGAGAGAGAGGGGGAGAGAGAGAGAGAGAGAGAGAGAGAGAGAGAGAGGGGGAGAGAGAGAAAGAGGATAAAAGCAAAATCAATATACACAAGACCCTACGCCCAACACCTCAACATCTTTAACATTCAGAACGACCCTCCGAAGGAAAGACCCTGAACCTCAGAAAAGGCCTGCACAGCCAGAGCCCGGCAAACCCAACCCACAAAGCCAAAGAGAGAGAGACAGGGAGACTGAGAACGACTTGTTTTAAGATGGGATGGGGTCACTTTCAGGCTTCAAGTCTTTAGCTTGTCATGGGCTCTTGAGGCGAGGAATAGTGTTACTGCAAATTGCATCTTGCGACGAGTTGTGTACTTAAAAGGAGTTGGGGCTTAGGGGTTTAAGGGTGTATAAGAAGGGCTTAAGGGTTTATTAGGGGTCTGGGGGCTAACGGTTTAAGGCTTAAGGGTTTCAAGGTTTGGGAAGGCCTCCAGTGTCCGCGTCCAACTGTGGAGCATCGAATCAAACCGGCCATTTAATAACCCTAAACCCCTAAACCCCTACACCCAATCATGCAAGCAATCTTGCTTTGGGAGTTTGGAGTCTTTGGGGTTTAGGGGCTTATGGGCAGAGTCGATGCTTTTGCGTACCTAGACGCTTTGGGCCGAATACGGCTTGGGAACAGTACCATACCCTAAACCGTATACGCCCCCTAAATAACTATTTGGACGATCGATTTGCACACCGCTCCATACTGTAAGGGCTTCGTCTTTAGGCTGAGGGCTGCAGGGGCTTCGCTTCGTACCCAAGCTTTGTGACATGAGCAGCGCGCTCCACGCCGGTCGCAACGGCTCGATCAGCGAATCTATAGCTACCTCGATTTCACCTGCCCTTCGCATGCATTGCAAGGTCACGAGGTTTCTCCACCATCAGCCTGCAGGGCTTTATTATATTTCGGACCCTTAAATCCCGGTCCTAAGTTCCTAAGTTTCGAAAAAATAAACAACTCGAAAGACCCTAAACCGGCTCAACATGTACAGCTGCTCGAAGAGGCCTGATCAGATAGCGCCGAATCATGTTCGATTCGAAATTTCCGACGACGCATTTCTGCGCTGTCGGCTTCAATAAACCCAGCATATCTTCTTCACTGTAGCACTGATAGTGCCTCGGGTTCAGTCCTTAGTTGTGTAGGTAGCACGAATCCATCAGAATGCGAGTAAGTACCACGACGGCTGCTATCTTGCAGCTCAGTGGCTCTCTACACGAATCGAAGTCAGCATTTCGTCAAAAGCCTCAATGCCACACATGCCACGTACTTGTACCAGCAGGGTTACGTCCTGCATACTAATATCAATCAAGATGCATGAAGCTTTGGCCGAATGAAGAAGCGAAGCAAGCCCCGCTGGGCAAAAATCATTGATGCCTCCCTGTAGAAGACGAGGAAGCGGTGGCCTGAATCTTAAGACTGAAAGGATCCGGACCAGCATAATAGATCATTATATGCGATGCCACCGGATTGGATTTGTGAAGCAGGGTCCGAGCCTCTTCGGTCAAGTTGCACCGACTGCTCGAGGGTCAACAGCTGACCCATGTTCTCCATGTCGTTCTGGAACTCGCTGATCTCGAACCTACAGCCGAGCGAAATCGATCATGTGCAAGGTATACAGTGGTATACACGTGCATCTGGAGCACACGCAGCTGCAAATGAGATGATGCAGACGACGGTCCCCAGCAGGCAGGTTGCCAGACATCGTTGCTTGCGTCTCCGAGCTCAGCAAATGTGCCTGCTGGGTTTCGGGCGTAGAGCCCTTGCTAGCTCGCAGGGCTTATGGCTTAATTTTTGAATATGCATATGGATCGAATAATACCGCCAAGCGTCAGCCAAGAATGCAATCACCACACGGCAATTAAATGCCTTATAGGCAAGCCACGGGTAGTCGATCTCACAGACATGGAGCCGCTTGCTCGTGAACTTGCGGCCCGAGCAATACACACCTGACCTCTTCATCCAGAGCTTAAACGCTTCGAATGCATGTTGCAGTTGAACATCCAGGTCGGCGCTGCTTGTACCGAAAGCGTTGTGCTGACACATCCATAACAACGTGTCTGCTGCCAAGGATTGGTACACACCCAGGGCGAGAGCGTGCATAGCACAGAATCGGATCATCTGGTGGTTGAAGCCTGGTACATGTACCAGATCACACGCCAGTGGCTGGTGAAGCAGGCTCAGAAAGTCTGCCACTGTGCGGCGTTGGAAATTGGCTCCGAAGTCACAAAATCCATGGCCATGCTTGGATACCTTCGTCGCGACACAAAGATGGCAAATGCGAGTAGGCGACTTCCAGGAAGCCGCCATTTGCCATTGGGTCAAGTGCCAGTCCCAGTCCCCTTTGAACAGCACCACAGCGAAACGCCCTTGAAGCTTATTCGCTCGTTGTCGTCTAGAGTTAGGCAGTTCCTCGCCACTCGGGCCTTTTCGCGGTCGTATGCCCTGGAACGCCAAGGTCAACGACCAGAGGGTGCGCTTGTAGACTGGGCGCATTGTGTCCTCATCGATATGCGATGCGAACGTCGACTGTATAATTAGCACACAGTACTGATGTTTGCATGCAAGCTTCGACTCCACAGCTTCGTAGCGAGTTCAACACGAAGAACAGGAAGGTCTTCAGGAAAGGGCGCCCTGAAGGAGGGCCGAGCGATCGAAAAAAAACCCTAATCTATATTGCCCCTAACTTATAATATTTTGCTCTGATTTTTCTACGATAATCTGGCCTTTAGGTCGCCACAAAGGAAACCCAAGCAGAAGCGCGGTGAACTTGTCGTTCTCATTTGTAAACTGCGCCGTGTCACCGTATACCTGGTACATGTACACACTTGCATCCAGAAAATTAAATGTTACACTACACTCGAATATAAACCTAAACCCTTAACATTAGAAGCTTCTTCTTGCGGAATAGTGGTTCTGATATAGGAATCGCCGTTTCATCCGCCGGGTGCTTGACAGCCCACTCACAGTCCAGCCGACGAAAGTGTTCCCAAAACTTCCTCAACAGTAGTACATGCAGGCAGTACTGCTGTGATCGTATAGTACATGTGCATGTGCTGCTTAGTTGCTTGATCTCGTTTGCATCGATGGTCACGCGGCCGGTGGAGACCAAGTAGTTCAGGAGCTCGTGAGGGTCCAGGAACGGTAGCTTGCTCATCACCCTCTTGTCCCGGGAAGGGTCGGTCTCATGAAGTAGCGGTACTTCTACGTAGCTCATAGCCTGCAGTGCGAGGGACCGGGTCTTGGAGCGGCAGCAGGAGTACAGGAGTAGTTATAGGAGTAGAGGAGTCTACGAGTATAGGAGAACAAGCCGGGGTATAGGAGTATAGTGGCAGTTTAATGCGAATATATTTGGGCGATTCAGGTTTCAGAATCCAGACGACTGGAATTCTTCCAAACGCTTGGCATACCGCAATGGGTGTCAGGAGTGTCTTCGAGTTATGTCTCCTACCCGATCTAGTGATAAATACCGATTAAAACTTACAGTCACGGCATTCTGGAGTGCAGGCGGGTTGCTATGGGCAGCTTCACAAACCGTTGCAAGTCTCGATTGGCATTTCTAGATTTCGCAGACCCCTTCATCTTCGCCAACTTTGCCGTGACTCTGGAGAAGTTTCTGGAACCGGCTTCCTGCAGGGCCCAATTGCACACAATAACAGTGAATTACAAGCGGCCCTCGGGCCATGCATCTGTAATTGCAATGTCCTGCACAGCTGCATCGGCGCTGTTCACAACTCCCAGAGCTGATGTTCTCCCCTCACCCAGGGACTTCAGCCTCAGATGTTGCAACATTGGATATCAGAGTTCCCACTACACTTAAGGTAAAAGCCAGAAAGTTGGAATATGATTATCCTAACCCACCTATGGCACATTATAGGGTATCCTACCATGAAACCATATTCCAACTTTCTGGTGTTCCCTGTACGTTGTTTTACAATTCCACTGCATGCCCCAGGAGCAAGTGGTTGGCCATTATCGATGGGGTGCCTTCGAAATTTATGGTCAGGGTATTCACTATAGACATACAGTAAACTCCATAAAGTTGGAAACCGGATTAAGGCCAAATAGTGCTCGGATTCCCTATGCATTACTCTTAAGGATGGAGGCTATGGGGTTTCCAACTTTTGGGCTTCTACCGTAAAGAGCTTGGGAATCACTAATGCACATATGTAGATGTAGGTTTCGAAGCCCTGCACCTCTTCGCGATCTCGATCTTGATCTAGCCACGGTGTTGCCTGCGGTGTCGACAGGGATCAGGTGTTTAAGCTATATATAAGCGCTCAAACATACTATATAGGGTCAAAATTGTAAGAATATATATATATATATATATACTCTTAAAATTTTGACCCTATAGTATGTTTGAGCGCTTCGGGGTTTAGGGGACAGGCATTATAATTGCAGTTCGATACTGAAGGGTTCAGGGCTCAAGGCATCGGTACTAAGCTTTGAGGTTTCGTTCCAAATTTGGAACTGGATCCCATAGGATATAAATATTAACCCCTGAAAGCAAGATTTATCGTAAGGTGTATTTAGGTTTGAGGCCAAGGGTTCAGAATTTCCAGCTTTGGGGTGAGGGCTTCAGGGTTTGGGGGTTTGTGAGTTACAGATATCGGCTTTTGCTTTGCATCGCATGATGGACTTGGGGCTATCAGGGTAGGTACGTATACTAGTACTAGTAGTACTAGTACTAGAAAAAATAATAATTGTAATAATAATAACAGAGCTATCGCACTGCACGAGAGCAACTTCGGCGACATCACGAGCATCAGGGTCGCATTCGAGCGGGCGACGGCTGTGTACTCAGTCAACAATCGCCGGCTTTTCAGCATCAAGCTCGTGGAACGTCGACATCGGCGTCACCTTCGTGGACGAAATCACTGACCGGTCGGAAGTGTCCCGGACACAATGGTCCTTGCCAGTTCATGTGCATGGCGGGAGATATGGACAACTTCAACTTCGACCCACGTGGTCAGATCGCCACTTATCCGAAGGACAAGGTGGTCGACAACTTCCACCAGACAATTCGCGGCGTGGTTCCGCTTTGAATTGCATCGTTGCCCACCCACCCACCCACCCACCCGCAAACAAAGCAAGCAATAGAAGTAGCGACTAATAGATAGACCTACAACGTAGCAGGAGCTCTTGTGGTTCAAAGGCCCATGCAAATGCAACCATTTAAACACAAAGTCCGACCCAGAACACAAACCCGACCCAACAATTTGATTCCTGGTATGATCAGCTGATTCCCGGCGAACCTGGGCATATCCCTGAGACCCCCAATCACAAACGTGATACCCCAAGCCCTAGTTGACCCTGAGACCCTAAACCCTAAATCCGAAAACCTGAAGCCCAACCCCAAACCCTAGTTGACCCTAAGACCCTAAACCCTAAATCCGAAAACCTGAAGCCCAACCCCAAACCCTAGTTGACCCTAAGACCCTAAACCCTAAATCCGAAAACCTGAAGCCCAACCCCAAACCCTAGTTGACCCTAAGACCTTAAACCCTAAATCCGAAAACCTGAAGCCCAACCCCAAACCCTAGTTGACCCTAAGACCCTAAACCCTGAATCCGAAAACCTGAAGCCCAACCCCAAACCCTAGTTGACCCTAAGGCCATGAACCCTAAAGCCCAACCCCTAAACCCCCAATCCTGAAAACTATAATATAATTATATGCTATGATCGCTACCCGAGGCGGCCCGAGGATGCAGTGCATATCGTGATATCGATGATGCAGGCACATTCGCTTATTAATTCCTGGATATAGATATAGGGCTCAGGGATTGGATGATAGGGATCGTCTAGCATGACGCAGCCATGGTGTATAGCGGTACATATAGCGATTAGGCTTTGAGGGCTGCCGGTTTAAGATTTCTGGAGGACCTACACATAAAGCCCTCGAGTCCATACGCCATGAACAACCTAGACATCTCGGCCTATGCTATATGATTATATTACTTGTTGGGTTGGTGCCGGGCTTTAAAGGGTTGAAGAGTTTTGGGGTCAGGGGGTTAGGGCTCAGGGTTTGGATGATAGGGTCGTCTAGTCTAGCAGTACGCAGCTACATGGTGTAACTTGGGCGGTATCGCACTGATTTCGAAAGCATTAAGACTAGGCTTTGAGGGTTGCGGGTTTAAGGTTTCTGGATGACACATAAAAGGCCCTCGAGTCCATACCCCATAAACAACCTAGACACCTCGGCCCTATAAAGCTAGGTTATAATTGAGTTAGAGCAGTTAATATAAAGTGAAGTGGGAAGCTAAGCCCAAGTTCATCAAACTTGCCCCGGCCCCAAAACCCTGAGCCTCGAGCAAAGAACAACCTTGATTAAACGAAATAACGAAAACCACTGTATACATATATATATATATTATACTACTCACTGAAAACCTCGAAGAGAATCTTATTATTATATAAGGGTTAGCGATGTAAGGCCAGGGCTGTCGGGATCCGGTGTTGAGGCTGGGTTTCGGGTTGTGGAGCTGGGAGCCTCGGTTTATAATTCCGTTGCATTTTGAGTATTGCAGTATACGTAGGTCTTTAGTATACTGTATATTACAATTCCGATATTCACGTTAAGCGCTGCTTGTGCGCTAGAACGAGGAGCCTGTGGCGGGTCAGGGAGCATTAAGGCCTAGTGGTTTATTAGATAATTGGATCTGGAATAATATGCCACGATAGGATGATCGGGGTACCCTAGTCCCATGGACTGATAAAGCCCGGGGATGACGATTTAAAGAAAGACAGATAGAGAACATACGACCCATAAGATATGCATATTAATATTGTACATGACATCGTCATTAAGACACAGATCGAGTTACCCTACTCCCGCCCCTTCGATTCGAAATCCTCGATGCTGGCGACTTCTATGCATGAAGGAGGACAAGCTTTACAGCATGCATTGACTCCGGACAGTATCAAGCCTTCAACCGCGCTCGGCCCCGGTAAATGTGGACGACGATCCGAGCCCAAGACTCCCGACGCTCTACAGGTCATGAGCAAATCAAGATGGGAGGATCAGTTTTACTGGTGGAATCAGTCGATGAGCACTGGTGAGATCACACGGCCCATGCAGTGATGCTCTGGAGCCTCGAGCTCTCTTGAAAGCCAATGCACAAACACGAAATCCTGGTCCTAAGCCCGAAACCGTATAATTCTCAACCCGGACCACTATATATTTGGGGCTTATAATACTGTGGTGCTTACAGAGCCATAGGATCGCTTCAAGATGCACATACATTGACATTAAAAAACATTGAGGGCTTGTAGTTGTGCACTCCCACAACGCACCTAAGCTTCTGGACCCATAGACCCGAAATCGAAGGCTAACTAGGCCCGAAAGCCCTAAAGCTTGAGGCCCTAAACCCCTAACCGCCGATACCCTAAGACGTAATAAACCGAAAACTCCAGATCCGCCCTTCGCCAAGCCGTACTTCCCTAAAGCGCTGAAACCCCAAGAAATGAATTCCCTACACCCCTAATACACCCTAAAACCCTAAACCTGCTGGCCTGATTCAACATGATCAGCTTTCCGGGCTGTCGATCTTGAACTAGCCGCACGAGAACGGCCTGCATGCTGTTCGAATAATATAAGATTTTGATGACTATAGGGGTTGATAATAGTTAATAGCGCTGATCAGTCCCCAAGCCGTCGCAGCACAATCTCCCACTCGAGTATTAGAATAATACTATAAGGGTGTAGGTTTTAGGGTTTGATTCGGAATGCCTGGCCGATCACTATGACCATCTCGCAGGGATGTCGTCCGTGGCAGACCTGTGCAGGCGAGCGGGGAATGGTCAACCATTTGATCGGACTCCAGAGCTTTCAAATACTAAAGTCGTAAACTCGAAACCCAGGAACCCCTAGTACAGTCAAGTCCAAAGCTTAAGCCTATACGTTTCCGGATTAAGTGCTTTTCGAGGGACGAGAGGAGGAGGTCACACTTCTCGGATTCGAAGTTCTCGAGGATGATGTAGCAACGCCTGTTAGCAGGAATGCGAAGACACGGTACTTTAAAATGTTTAGGGGCTCGGATTCAGGATTCAAGGCTGTGGGTTTGTAACTTGGCATAGGACGCTTGATCACTCAATTGAGCTCCGATGCTTCACAATTAACATTGTGAAATAGCTCCAAATACACATAATTATTCATGAAGGCCGACACCAGCCCCCCCAACACCAGAATTATATAGCTTATAGTCTTAGTATCGGCAGCCTCGACCTCGATGTGGAGATCGAGATCTCGATCTCCTCCGCGGTGATCCTGCGTTGGGCATACAACTCGCTAGGGCTTTTCGGCTTTAGGGCTGGGGTTCGGGTCGTTGTTGTCACACCTACTTCGTGCACCCCAGGGCTGTTTATCTTTTGGCCAAGGGCTTTTAGGGTTCGAGGCTTAGGGTTTCAAGGGTTTTTATTGTACGAAATCGAAGATTCAGCAGGGTCGTCTTTTAGCGATACTTTCATCGTGTTGTTCCTGCGTTGGGCCAGTCTTATAAAGGTTCAGGGTATTGTAGGGACATCGGCGATTACGGGATTTCAGGTTTACGGGTTGGGACTGTTAGGGGGCCGGGGTTAAGGCTTTGGGGTCAAGGAGCTGTACATGTTGTGGGCTGTATGGTAGCGTTTACAAATATACCCGATGTGGCAACATAGGAGCTTCGATCTTAAAGAAGTGTGAGATTTTACTGAGAGGTTTTGACACCCCGCTTGCGATATACGTTTTTTTACAACCCTGTAACCGTACCCCTTTAACTTTAACCCTTATCCCTAAACCGTGGCCCTAAACCCTAAGCCTCTGAGCCCTAAGCCATAGCGTGCTAAACTTCCGGACTGCAAGACACCCGCACTATACATACAATCGAACTAACCCTAAACCTTGAAAGCCGCTAGAACATTTAAAGACCCCTAAAAGCCCTTAACCTAAACCCTGCAAGCAGGGATTGGTTCCGGCTGCGCATCTGCTTTTGCGAGGCGCGCCCTCGAGCTCGTTTGTCGTGCCAGGTTCAAGCCCGTCACATCTAGATCTAAAGATTATAAGAGACTCCACAGCAAGCCCAGGCAAACGTGACTAGTAGTAATCTGTTGAGCACTCACGCCTAGATTGCAAGCAGGGTTTGGGGTTTGGGCGCTTCAGGATTGATTTAAGCAGCTGGCTCACAGGTGTCCAATCGAAGCTTTAGGGTTTAGGTCATCGGGTGACTGTAGCTACATGGCATACACATAGCAGGCCCTTTCAATGTTTAGTTCTTTGGGTTGCACTGTCACGCCCTCTAGCGGCTGCTGTCACATCTCTTCATGACATGTCTAAAAGAGGGGCGAATATAGCAAGTTGCATCGCCCGGTACAGCAGAGACGATGTCCAACAGTCATATGCATTGCACTGGTTGATTGAGGCCCGTACCCAGACCTTACAGCTTCCAGCTATAATTTTGACTGCGGGAGCTACTAGATCTCTGCCATTGCAAAATCACAGCGACATGAGCATATCGCTAACGGCTGCGCCCACTGCAGATCGACACTGCTGCAAGCCCTACTTCTTTGCTCTTCCCTTTGCCTTGCTTTTGGGCTTTGGCTTCGATGCGGTGTTGGCCTTCTTGATAGCTCCACGGATCGGGGTGGCACACAGCTTGAACTCGACGATGCTCTTCTGCAAAGCCTTGCGATTGTCATCGGAAGCAAATACTTAATTTATTATTTAGTTGTAAAGCTTAAGTCTGCTATATCAACTTGCAACCTGCCTCCACCTTTTCTTTCAGCTGGCTCTCCTCAGCCTTGTTTCCCACCGCCCAAGCAAGATCTCGCTTGAGGTCGGCCAGCGTCATACGGCACGGCTCGAGGTCCTTCATGAGGGCAAAGCGAAAGTTTTCAGACCTGGGATTTAGTTTGGGCTTTATAGGTTTGGGTTCATTAGATAATTTAGGGTATTAAAGTAAGTGGGTCAGGCTACGTTTCACATGTGTGGGGCATCCAGGTCTCAGGGTATACGTATCTAAGAAATATATCGGGATCTATAGGATCAGGGGTGTCTGGGTTTGGAATATTCTCAGTACAGCCCGAGGTCCTGCAGTGCGGAAGTTATCAGACGTTGGGATTTATGATTGTATGGGCTTGGGTTATTTGGGTGTGGGTTTTACGGGTTTAGGTTTAGGGTTCAGGATATGGATCCTAGTATTGCAAACGGTTTGAGATTGCTGTAGCAGTCTGGGATTTGCAAGTGTCCGGCTTCCAGGTCTCACGGCAATAGGATCTGGTTATATTGTGGTCTTGGCTTCAATGGTGTTTAGTGAATCGAATATATAGCGACTGTGTCTGGGGCCTACGGGTAGTGCAGCACTAATAATGCAACTCGGGGGAAGACGTATTGAATAATTAGCCTCTTGTGTTCGCGCTTGAACATGTATCTGATAGCAACCCCGAAAACCCTAAGCACCTCAAGCCCGGAATGTAAAAGGCAGAACAAAGAAGCTTAAGCCTAAACCCTTTCATAAGAGCTTAGGGCTAATAGGGCTTAGGGTTCAGGGTTAGGGGTTAGGGAACTCTCTCCCCTTTCTCTCTCTCTCTCTCTTTTCTTTCGCCAGGCTGGAGGGCAAGCCCTCGCCCGGAGGGCCGCCCCTTGTTGTCGGCGTGCACGGTATTACGTGCGAAAGACTAGGGTTACCGACCTCACACCGACGGGTTTTCCGCCCCGGAGTCCCATACTACTCCGTGACAACACATGTGACAGCGCTACACATAACCACTCTGAGACAATACCACTCTTCCTGGACACTCCGGCTGAGGTTGGTTGACAGTGCTAAGTGTACAAGCCCCGAGCCCCTCATAGACCCTGGTAGCATCACAAGCACCACAGTATGCAAGCAACATGGTACTACATCACGGGGGTCTGGAGGCCTCGTGTGGACGTGACTCGGGTCATTCACCTTCTGCCAAAAACAAAGGGTCTAAGGAGCCTGTGCAGTATCACAAGACAGGTGATGCCCAAGACTAGTGTGCCCCGCGCGTGTGCTCAAGGCTACGTAGCTGGTACCACACCATGGGGGTCCGGAGGCCTCGTGTGGACATGACTCGGGTTCATCACCTTCTGCCGAAAAGCAACAAAGGGTCTCAAGGGGCCTGTGCAATACCACAAGACAGGTGATGCCCAAGACAGGTGTGCCCCATGTGCATGGTACCAGGTGCAGGGTTCGGCCTACGCCCCGGGTGCCCAACTGCAAAAACAGGCTACAGCTCACATGGTAGGACTAGTTTCACCTCGTCACCGGCCCCTGCTCAGTCACTACTGTCCGGCTCAGGTGTGCTCAGTGGTGTAGGGCGGTCAGTTGGGCTTCTCACAGCTCGCCGACGCCCCGAGAAGGTTTCGTACTCTGCCATAGCTTCCAGCTCATCTTCTTCCCGCTCCGCGGCCTCTTGCGTGGCCTCGCCCCCAGGTGGGGGGTCTCCTGCAGCGTTCATCTCTTGATAGGTCATGGCGCCAAAGTCTGGTGACGCCCCGCAGTCCCACTGTTGCGCTAGGATCGCGGTGGACTCCTCGTCGCTGAGGTCGTGTTCTTCCTCTTGCGCTGCTTTGCCCCGCTCATATTGACGTTGTTGAGCGAGGTCATGTAGAGCTTCTCTCTCTTCATCCCCAGGGTCACCATGGGAATCGAGCTGTGTCGGGGCTTGCGCCCCGGTCGTTGGCCATTCCATGTCGATGCCATCGTTGTGTTCCGCCCCGGCTTGGTCTTGGCTGTCTGGCGCCGGCACCGCCCCGCCATGGTACCAGTGTAGTACTTCCGTGAGCGCCAGGCCACACAACCTGTAGGCATCTCCTTGAAGAAACCCCCGAACAGCTGCCAGGTTTTGCGTAGCCTGCTCTACGGACACGGAGTGCACATGGAAAGGTCTGGTGCCCTCCGCCCCGCCGGCTTGCATGGCAATGACATCCGCTGTGTGCACCTCTTCTGCTTCCCACACGTCCTCGCCCTCTGCAACTGTAGCCAGTCGGGACCCCACGAGCAGGTCGTTCTGGTGTTCCATCAGGCCAGGCAGCCCCATGGCATCTACTCTACTGTATGCACTGTTCACTATGTAGTGTACGCCCCGGGCTGCTGCAAGTCTGGTACTGCTTTGGGATACCCCGGGGTTTGCCTCCATCGCTGTGGTGGTGAGGTAGAGTGTACGGGCTAGCTGCTGCAACACCATGTCTTGGGTAAGGTGTGTGTTCTCCCCGACTGTGGCGAGGGACAACAGGTTGGAGGCAGCCTCTCGGAATGGCGAGGTGACGCTCCGAGGCCTCTTGCTGGGAGAAGTGTCACTGCTGCTCCCTGGGCACTCGTGGCTCCTCTGCCACGAGGTCAACATGTTGAGCAAAATCACCACATGGTACGTGACAGCATGCACTTCTCCGCCTGCCGTTTCGAACAAGAGGCTGCGGAGGGTACTGATGACATGGTTGAGGTCAGGCCGTCTGGCCGTCTCGCTCGAGCTGCTTGCCGCTGTCTGTCGTCCTGGTCTCTGCATGAGACTGTGGTGGTCCGGCCCTCTCGGTGGTGTGGTGGTGGTAGTGGTAGGCGGTGGTGTCAGTCTGTTCCCCAGTGGTCTCCCATCTTGTATGAGGCCCAGCAGGCCTGGGTGTGGTGGTGTGGGGGTGGCCGCCGGCGGGTCAGGTGGTGGACGGTCTGCCGCGGCTTGGCTGCTGCGGAGGGTTCTGCCATCACTCAGGGGGTTCCTTGCTGCTGGTGTTGCCGTGGCAGGAGTGTCTGTGGCGGTCGTGGGGTCGCCTGTTGGTGCATTCTGCGATGCTGTAGTAGCAAGGAGTGGCTGTGTCGCCCCTGGCGGCGCGTGTGAGTCTGCCAGTGTACTGGGTTGTGCAGTTGGTGTGTGAGTGGCCGCGTGTTCCGCAGTGGCTGCTGTGGCTGCGACTGGTGTGGTGGCTGTTGGGGGTCGGTCCACCCCGTGGTGCGGTGATGTCTGTGGTGTGTGCTGTGGGCTGGTTGCCCCGCTGCTGGGGCTTGCTTCTGCTTGTATATCTTCTGCTGTTGTGGCGCTGGTGTCTGCAGGGTCCGTGGGGTCTGTGCAACCTGCCTGTTCGTTCAAGTGGACGTCCAGGGTCCACTCGCCATCTATCCAGGTGAAGGTGAGCACGTCACCGACACACAAGATAGCTGCGTTGAACTCGTAGTGCCCTGGGTCTGGGGCTGAAAGAACTTCTGCAACGTACATATTGGGGTCTGGCCTGGTGAGGCTGAGGGTGGTGCCAATGGAAATGGGGGGAGCATGGGCTGCAATGATCCCGGGTGGGATGGTACGGAGCGGCTCGGTGTCGACTTTGAGTGCTGCGAGCTCGTGTTCGAGCTTTCGCCTGGGATTGTTCTCGATGTTGACTAGCCACCAGGGTGGAGAGTGTGGTGTTCCCGCCTCTTCTGCAATGATGCGACCGATGGCCCACTTGTTGGTGGGTATGGTGGGCCGATTGATGGAAGGTGTGGATCGCCCCGGGTAGCGTGGCGGTTGTATTGGCATGGGGTGGTGACTAGGCCGGTCAGTGGAGCTGCTGGCTCGTTCTGTGGTGGGTGGCTCTGCTGGCAGGTCCCAGGGTGGTGGGTCGTCGTCCTGTGGTGTCTGCTGTGGGCTGGTGTGGGCTGAGTCGGACGACTGCGGCGGCGGTGGTGGCTTTGTAGCTTGAGTGGTGGGTGGCTGCAGGTGTGGCGGTGGTCTGGCCGGTGGTTCTTTCTTAGGCGGCCCAGGTCGGTTGCTGCCAGGACGCGTTGGCTCTGTGGGGGGGGCTGTGTCTCTCTCTCTCTCTCTCTCTCTCTCTCTCTCTCTCTCTCTCTCTCTCTCTCTCTCTCTCTCTCTACATATACATATACATACAGGGCACACCCCTGCGTCGGTGAGGGACTTCTCGAAGCCTTCGTACTCGGTCAGTTCAAGGTTGGCTTTGTTGTCGGCCTCCGAAAACATGTACACATATATGTATGTGTATATATATATGCAGTTTGATGCAAATACAATACATGCATTGCATGTCTACTGATGCCTCTTTGGCGAGCTGCAGGAACGTCTTGTCTTTCTTCGGCTTTGGTGGTGGCTTGGGGGGCTTAATGTTCGGCAATCCGCTCGCGTTCTCCTGGTCCGCAAGCAACTTCTCCCTTAGCACGGTGCACATAGCATATATTCATCGATCTCGCTCGCTCGCTCGGAGCGTGTGAAGGCTAGCTAAGTATATGTAACCGAGCCACATCGCGTCAAAGGCATCATCCGGCTCGACGTCCGCGGACATTTCCATCGTCGCCTCGGAGCTGTCAACCTTTCGCTTCATCTCCTTGCTCGAGCTGTAGTTCTTGTACCGGAACTGTTCCTGTCATGATCGTACGCACTCGGGCATATTAAGGATGCATATAGGCATCGCACACACTGCTCGGTTTCATGCCGGTGCATGTCCACAGGCCTCGACACCAGGGAAATCCGGGTGCCTTGAATCTTGCTGGATGACAAAGCGATGCTTTGCAGATATCCAATATCATCCAAGATACTCCTTGATGAAGCGCCCAAGCCTTCTTGGGTCCGCCGCCTCGTGTCGTTGCTTGAGGTCGGCAGCGAGTTCGGGACCCAATTCGCTGATCATCGTGCGGAGCGTCCACCACTCATACATCTCTTCCGTCTCAGTGCTGTGAGTGGTCCTCGAAAAGTCGAATCGGTATGTCTGTAATACACTTATGTGTATGGATGTGTGTGCATATACATAAATATTATAATTCATATATATATATATATACATACATATATACCGCAGTGTGTAGGGGTTACGGTTTAATAAGGTAATAGGCTTGGGACTTAGGAGATAGTCCGATCACATAGTTTTGAATTGGCATATGGGTAGATATTACGGAGTTGAGGGATTTTCGGTTGCACGTCTGCCGGAATGGGAATATATATGTAGATCTGACACGCTGAATCAGCACTCCAACCCTGCTGCCAGATAGAGGCCTAAGTAATAATTACATAGGAGCAAATTTTGGGGGGTTTAAGACTTGGGGATTGGGTTCACTAGATATTCGAATCGGAATGTACAGCTCCAATCCACTGATTCACGAATCCCCCAAAGCCTAAGCCCAACGCGTTTATACTATAGCTCTAAGCCCTTAATAAGCCCGAAATCCCAAACTCTAGTAGACCCTATATATATATATAGAGAGAGAGAGAGAGGCCTTCGAATATAATATACCCCCCACCCAACCCTAAGCCCTATCTGCTGATGGATTTAAAACCCCATATAACCCCTAAGAGCCGAAACCCTGAACCGTGTATTTATTATTTCTTTGCCGAAATATCAAAAGTTCGAATAGTCTCTGTTGCGAATTAAACGTAACCTCTGAAGCCTGAAACCCTGCATATAACTCGACAGGGCTTATCGATGCTGACGAGATTGCAAACATGTGGCAGGCCCGATCTTGCAGTTCAGACCCTCCGGTTTAGGGCTTGGGGTTTGGGGCTGAAAGGGGTTAGGGTTAGGGTTTAAGTTTTAGGGTTAAGGGTTTAGCCGATTACACAGAACCGTCATAAGCCCCATTGCTTGTGATAAGTTTCTTCATCCGAATGATCATCTTGCACTCGGCCCATACGCCGCGACACGAAAGGTAGTGGAGATACAACTGATGCATTTTCTCCCGATCTCAGATAGCAAGCAGGATAATTTATCATGTTCCGGTTTAAACGTAACACTTAGATTATTTGAAGAAGCAATAAAATTGAATTCTAATTCTTATATAACGAGTAGCTGCCCTCTGCATCAATGCGCTTGCGAGCCACGTCGGGGTCCACGTCACCGCCTAGAAAGCAGTATTGAAGCTTAAGGGCTGGCTTAGTATTTCGGGTGCTTTAGGGGTTCTAAATATACCATCAATATTTACAAAACAATATAAGTGTATGTGCCTAGTTGCTTCTGGCCGACCTATAGAATCGCATATACAGCGCATGCGGGGAGAGCCACGAGCCACGCTTGTCCTTGCGCCACGCGTCGGGGTCGTTGGGGTCGAGCTTCGAATTCTGCTTGATCGGCTGCTGCTTCATCGCCTGGTTCGGGTCATTCTGCTGGACATCCGGCTGCTTGGGCTGCTGCTTCATCGCCTGGTTCGGGTCATTCTGCTGGACCTCCGTCGGCTGCTTGGGCTGCTGCTTCATCGTCTGGTTCGGGTCATTCTGCTGGACCTCCGTCGGCGTGGGCTCCTGCTTCATCTCTACGACTTGGTTCGGGTCATTCTGCTGGACCGTCGGCGTGGGCTGCTGCTTCATCTCCACTTGGTTCGGGTTCTGCTGGGCCGCTGGCGTTGGCTGCTGCTTGATATGCTCGGTTTCCGGGATCTTTGCCTTCGCATGGTCCGGGGCATTCTGCTGCGCGTTCTCCTGTGCCGGCCTCGCATAGAACCGGGATCGATCAGGGCTATCCCGATGGCTGTCACCGTAGCATTTGTCCAGGTATCGATCCACAGAGTTGTACACGCTCGGGGCAAACGCTGGTACGGGAGGCTTAATCCCCCGAGGTGTCTCGACCGCTACGTCGGTGGGCACCTGAATAGCAAGGTTGCGTGTTTTAGATGTTGTTGTTAGGGTTTGAGGGGCTTTTCATGGCAGGGTTTTAAGTTTTAATATTATAGTAATATATAGCTCAATTGCTAATCTATATATATATATATATATTAGAATAATTTATAACTATATTGCTTATGGTTTTAGCTAGCTAGGTTTTATGTAGCGAACATCGGGACAGAGAATCTAATATGTATTAGTTAGGATGTCTATATTTAAAGGTCAGAACACAAAGCCTTAAAACTGTATGAAACTGTACAACCTTCCCTTGATGCAAGATCTAGCGTCATACATAGACAGCACGAACCCCCTCTCTCTCTCTCTCTCTTTGTTGTGTTCTCTGTCATAATCGATATCATTCTTGTGTGTTTCGTCGCTCTAGATCTCCCTCTGTAATGCACTGGCCTGCTGGGGTTCCGCCTTGCACGGCTCTGCTGCCTTCTCCTGCTTCTCTGCTTCTTCAGCAGCTTGAACTCCATCCGTGGTCGGTCTCACCTGGTCCAACTCGGAGGTTGGGGCACGCTGCAGCGCGGAAGCCACCTCAGTCCTCAAGGCCTCCTGCATGGAGTCAGAGACGTCAGTCTCGAGGGACAGGTTGGAGTCCCCTCGGCCCCATGACCAGCCCTCGTAGGGCTCCAAGTCCTTTGACATCCCGCGGTTCCTCCACCACCTCTTGATCAACAAATCCAAATGCTTAGACCCACTAGTCATACATATGCAGTCGTTACCCAGGGTTATAATTACAATTTAAAACGCACTCATGGCCGAAAAAGCCACTGCTTCTGGGGACCGTATCCCCACTCCTCCGACCAGCTGCTGCTGGACCAGCTGCGTGGCATCCAGGAACCGTGTCCCCACCAATCTCCGGCTTCATGGCCGGACTGTGTCGTCCACCCATTCCATGCATCACGTTCATCGGTGCCGGTGCTTTCCGGCTCGGCCTGGCCCTGGAATAACTTCACGGGAGTCGCCTTTGGCTGCGTGGGCGTCGACAACTCCATCTGCGTTGATCCCGGTGTGACCATCCCGGTGAAACTGTCAAGCCTCCGTACCGGTCCCGGTGTGGCACAAATCTGCGATTTGTCAGGGCTAGCGCTGTTGGGAACCGGAGGCTCCAGCTGGGTCTCCAGCTCACGGATTATCTCGAGCTCCTCGGCATCGGTCATCTTGCCTGGACACATCACCATGGGTTCATGATATACACGGTTGAAACATGCATATTGTCGTCACTCGGCTTGTACTATCCCATCTCACCTGGCTCACGTGCACACCCAGGCTTCAAAGCCGCACCATCATCAGCAGCCTTCGGCTTTTCTGGCCCCCTTGGATCATGATTGAACCAGGTACCCTCCCGAGTACTGCTATTACATCCAGACATGACTAGGAATCTAAACGCATTGGCTATTTTGGGATTTCGCTTGTATTTCCGAAGGCTTATACTATAGGATGAATGGTTGCAGCCCCGGGCTTTAAATGAAGTGGTGTAGCTTGGGTGTGGGTCGGCAGTTGAGGTCATTAATAGTTACGGTATGTTGTAGTTTTGGTTATTATAATAAGGTTACCTTAAGGTTAGGAGCTACGGTGTAGGTTTGGGTAGGTATTACCTCAAGCGGCCCCGAGCCTTCTTTAACAGTTCGGACGAGAAGAAGAACAAGTACTAGTACTAGTGCCAGTACTACCAGTGTGGGCTTAGGGTCTTTACGTATACGACGGATAACTGCAATCCTGGGAATCGGAGAAAATTAATCTTGCTGCACAGGCGTCTTCGTGGACTGTCGGCGACCCGGAGGTGCAGGTGCAGAAGCCTTCGGGCGCTTGTAGTCTGGGCTCCTCATCGGTGTCCTTAGCCACGAGGCTTCGGTTGTTGGTGTTTTGGGTCTTGACTTAGCGGTTTTTTAGGTTGTTTGGTTTAGGATGTGGGAACAGGCTAAGGGTTTATTTTATTAAACCCTAAACCTCCAAACCCTAAACCTTAAATGCCCGAAAGCCCATGACCCCTTTGGAATCTTTAGGTAAAGCCCTACTAAACCCTAAACTTTAAACCCTAAACCCTACCGGGGTCCCTAAAGAATGCCCTAAAGCCCCAGACTCCTCTGCCTGGGTTTCTGGCACCTTGGCTCCTCCAAGATCAATGGCTAATGTATAGTTACATAGATGAGAACTGCTTCCACACTTAGTTGGCTCTCCTGTTGATACTATATATATATATATGTATATATATATATATATTTTTTATACTTATGTATACATATACACATACACATAGACATAGACATATATATATATATGTGTGTGTATACACACACATATATATATATATGTGTATATATATATATATATTATGTATTTATAAATAAATTATGCATGTATACCCGGCATGCACACAAAGGGGATGGGTATCCGGTCTAGGTTTATGCTAAAGTAATACATAACATACACATTGTAGACAAGAATCGACTTGCCGGACTTGCCGGTGAGGGGGGTTGCAGCCTGGGAACCTGTTGCCGGGGCCGGGGTTGCTGGTTCGTCGGGGCAAGAGCCCGTGCCACCGGATTTGGCGGGTGTGCCAGCGGATTTGCCGGGGGTTTTCGGCATTTGCTTCTTCAGCATCTGCAACGTACTAGCCGCTTTCTGAGGGTCAGCGGCAACGTATTGCGCAAGGGGCCGCTTCGTAGTCGAGGGTACCGACGTCGGCATCCTGCAAAGAGGGGTTTCTGGATGGATGAGTTTGGGGCCAAAGCGCAGAATACCGAGCTCACGGTTCCAAGGCCTGTTTCACGGTTCCAGGGCCTGTGTCACGGTTCCACGGGGCTGTTTCACGGTTCCAAGGCCTGTTTCACGGAGCCCTGGGCTGGCTTCTGGGGTCTGTATGCACGCGCTTCTAAAATCCGTGGGTCCCGGGTACAGGTCCAGCGCGCAATGCTTCATAACGCAGGATATAGGGTCATGCGCCATGCGTCTCTGGATGCAGATCTACATATACATGCACTTGTACGCATGCTTCTGCTTATACATACATGCATGGAGATGATGCATACACATATACACACATACATACATGCATGCAGATATGCAGTCATACATACAAACATACGACACACAGACATATGCACATGCTTCCAGAATGCACACAAGTGTAGCACATGCAATAAATCGACCTCAGATCAGAAGTAGCCCTGAACAAAGCGGCATGGGATTAAGTCGGGGAGGTCTCATATTATGCATTGTCACAGTACACACAGACAAACATGCATATATGCACATATTGCATAATATGATGTGCATCATGTCTGCACTCTCACTCGGATTGTCAAAGCCCTTAACCCCTAAACCCTTAAACGATCCATAACGACGCCCAAGCCCATTCCCAAAGGTCTACAAGGATGGCCATTGCTGTGCCGCATCGGTGAAGGAGGACTGCATCCCACTACTTAAACTAGGTTTGGGGTTTAGGGTTTATAATATATAAGACGTTTTCGGAAGCTTCAACACATTCCCTTATGGTTCCTATAGAGGTACCTATTCATGAAGACTTTGCAGGGCCCCAAAACTTCAAGTTCAGGGTATAGTAGAAGCCACAAAGTTGGAACATCATCATCCTCATGCCCTTAGGGTAACGTATAAAGGATTTCTAGGGTTAATCCTCCCAAAGCCATGCTCCAACTTTCTGGCTTCTACTATAAGGTTTAGTGCGCTATTGGTTTGAGGATATGCAAAGTCTTCCATAGCATTTCTAGACCATTATACACAGAGCATATCTATATCTAAATCTATATCTATATCTATATCTATATATCTATATCTATATCTATACACATAATATACCGGACTGGTATAAATACATACATAGTACCTTGAACACATGGCTTCTGGGAACCCCAAGGCCCTATATTCTGTCGGAACCCAAAACCTTTTCAATCTTTACAAGTACCACCTGTCAAAGCGTCATGGCATGGCCCCAAATGCCACATTTACAACACACAACCCTAGACCCTGAACCCATGAGCCCTAAAAGTAAGAAATCCAGACATCACAAGCCCGTAAGCCCCAGAGCCGCCTGGCTCACCTTGGCCCCGGCCCACAAAGAGGGTTTGCTGCAGCTGTCCTGGAGCTGCACTATAGCTAGTTGTGCACTTTAGTCTAAGGTGTGGGGTTTGTGGGGCACAAATCCACGGAAGCCCTACGCCTGAAGGCTCTCTCGCTCTCGCTCTCTCTCTCTTTCTCTCCCTCTCTCTTCGTACATGTATGCAAACTGCACTTCCTGGTCGCACCTTGCATCAACCTTCCAGAACAAATGCAAGCGAGCCTTAGATAATGGGATCCTTTAATCAACCGAAAAACCCCTTGCCCCTGCTTGGCAGATGCCTTCGTGGTCAGCTCGCGATATCGGCCGCCCAGGAGGAGGCGCAAAGGGATCAACAAATCTTGAGCTTGCGACGTGTATCGGTGGATGCAACATAAACACTATGCGTCAAAGACTCATTGCACATGCACATCGATCAGCTGAAGCCTGTTTGGCCCCTCTCATGCAAGAGCTCCCTCTGCCACAGATATTGCAGCAAAAGCATTACAAATTTTGTATGCACTGCTATGGGGACACGGCTGGAGATATTGCAATTGCCTCGGCAGGTGACCTGCTGTTCCTGAACGCCTGATCCCACGCGGTGCTTGCAGATGCTGGCTACGGTCTAATGGCGCTGCCATATCCTAGGTTGTTACGTATCAGCAACGCCGGAGTTTGTAGGTTAGGGTATAGGGTTTAGTGTTTTAGTGTTTAGGGTTCTTCTCGGTTTTGCGCTTAGGATGTCGGGTTCTGGATGTATAAGGCCTCGGGCTTTTTTGGCATCCGGTTCTCGATGTGGTGAGTGTGTGCGAGTTTTGCTACATGATTTCTGAAGCCATACGTTACCCAATAATAGGCATGGCACTTCACAGGTTTTCGTTGCAGCACGTAGCTGTTATGTATCAGCATTCACCCGGAGTTCTGTAGTTTAGGGTATATGGTTCCAGGATTTGGAAAATTTATGGTTTTAGGGTTTAGGGTTTCTAAACTATTTCTTCGAAGTTGATATGCTAGTGAATCTCGCGCACACTCGCCCCATCGAGAACCAGATGCCCCAACACCAAGCTTTCTAAATGCAGAAACCCTTAATCCTAAGAGTAAACCCGAGAAGAACCTTATACTTGCATCCGAAGCAAATCGGCTATCTAGTCACCGATCTGCAAGATTTCTCTCGGCCTTTAAGGCCTGTGTTGGGCCTTGGAGAGGGATCGAGTTGGTGTGTTAAGGCCGATCAGAGTTTCAGATTCATGCTTGGGGTAGAGGTGATAGGGCCGCCGTGGATTCGTCTATGCTGTGGTGCTAGTGCTCTTGTGCATGTGAGTATGTGTGTATATATATATATATATATATATATAAGTCAGTATGTGTGTACAGAGTTCACAAACAAAATCTATCCATTTCTGTATATACATATAATTATATACGTATATAATTATATGAATATTCAGAAATGGATAGATTTTGTTTGTGAACTGTGTACACACATACTGACTTGCCTATATATATATATATATATATATATATATATATACCTACCCATAGACCGCACATAGGTACGGGGAATTATCGAAAGGATCTCATGGGTTAGAGGTTTGGGGACTCCGGAGTTCAAGTAGCTTTGGATGTGAAGGCCATGGTGGGGTATTTCGTCTTGTACGGAATTGGTTTGGAAGCTCTCATATTTAGCAGTGTAGTGTACAGGGATCGGGGACTCTAGCGCTCCGGGGTGTCCAATAGACCGCAAGCCTCAAAACTAAAGCCCTTCGGTTCACTCGTAGTACCCCATAGGCTCTGCCGTCATAGGAACTTTGGGGAACGAAGGCTTCCACAATCCAGCTTCGATCGCATCGGTGAGATAGCCAAGGAAGCGTTCCTGGGAATCATAAGGTCTTTCTGATATTCAGGCTTTCATATGATTGCCTGGTTTATAAGTTTTAATTATAGTGCTGCTGTGAGCAGGCTCAGAGAATCTTGAGAGTTGCTGTGCAATTGAAGTGCACCTTGCAGATCGAGTTACATCCCGCGGCAAAAAAAAAGTGCCTGAGAAACCGCAAAACCCTGAAGTCAAGATTACTGTAGGAAGCCAGCTCGGGGAGTTTAATCGTGTATCCCGCCACAGAAGAA